GGGGCCGCGGGGCCGCTCGGCACCGGCCGTGCCCACCTCGGCACCTGCCCCCGGGCCTCCGCCGCCTCCCACCCCGAGTGCCCCGCTGTCCCCGGCGTGCCCGGCTCCGCACTGCCCGCGGGGGTCGGTTTTGCCGCGGGAGGGGGGCGGGGGGTGGGTTCGCCCGCTCCCCGGCTCCCCCTCCGCGACGTTTGGGCTCCAGTTGTTCTTTCTACACGCGAGCGGCTCTGCCGAAAAAGTTGTAGCGAATGGGTAATTTGATTATTGCCGCTATAGGCCAACTGCCTCGGCGGCCTTCCCCCACGCGTCTAGCTGGGGGCAGAGAAACCATCTCCAAGGAATAATCGAATCAAGGCGAAGTGTGGAAAAACCCCTTCTGATTTCCAGGCGACACAAATAGAATTAGAGCCTCCTGGTTGCTTCACCCCCCTCTTCCCCCCCCCCACCCCCGAAAGAGCCCTTTTGTCTCGGTCGCAAACTCCGGCCCAGCCGGGCAGCGCGGGGCGCGGAGGATGCGCGGAGGATGCGCGGAGGATGCGCGGGGTGCGCGGCGGCGGGCGGAGCGGCAGGGCCGGAGAAAACCACGCCGGGCGCGTAAAAGCCACTTTTCTTTCCTCTCGTTCGCCGCCGAGAGGGGCCCGGTCCGCTCCCCCCGGGGCTGCCGGAGGAATGCTCGGAGGCCGGGAAACAAAACAGGGAACAGCGCGCCTTTGTGCGGCCGCCGCCGGCCATGGGAAAGAGCCTCCCGGGCCCCTCCGGCCCCGCCGCCGTTCCGCGGGCTACACGCGGTCCCACCCGCCCGAGTAAAATACTAAATACCGGCGAGGCTTTCTTTAGCGTCGCTTTATTCCGAGGGGGCCGCCAGCGCATCCGTCCCACCGCGCCGCGGCCGGTTCCTCGCCGGGCGGGCGCCGGGCAGGACGGGGCGCGCAGATCAGCGCGGCCGCGGAGCCCGGCCCTTCCCCGCCCGCGGAGCCGCACCGGTGCGAAGGGGCCGGTGACACGTGTCGGCTGTCCCCCGGCCAAAATGTGTGTGTGGGGGGGGGGGAATCCCCTTTTTTGTTGTTCTTTCTGCTGCCCCGCTCCCAGTGGCTGCGCGGGCTGGGCTCCGCGGTCGGGCGCGCAAACTAAGCGGGGCCCGGCGCTGCCTGCTCCGCGGCTCCCCGGCCGAGGAGGGCCCTGCGCGCAGCGGGGCGGCCTCCCTCCCTCTCCGCGCCTCTCCGCGCCTCTTAGCTCGGGGTGCCGGGCGCCCGGGTGCGCTCTGGGCCGCTCTGCTGCTGCGGGATCACTTGGGATGGGAGGGATTGGCAATAATAATAACAACAACAACAACAACAATGATAGCAACAACAACGACGACCACGACGACCATGACGATGATAATAATAATAGTAATGATGATGATGCCGCTGTTTTCCTCCGTCCCTTTCCCGGGGCGGCCGTGGCGTTCGGGCGGCCGCCAGCAGAGGGATCTGCGCTTTGCTTCCCCCCCCCCAGCCGCTGCTGCTGCCTCGGCGGCGGCAACATCTGCTGGGCTGGAGGAGACGGGGCGCTTGAGCAGACGCACAGATGTAAAAGTGACATCTGCTTGTGACAAAGGAGCGGGAATTAGATTAGGCGGGGAGGCCTTTCTGCGATTAAAAAAAAAAAAAGAGAGAGACAGAGAAGGAAAATACTAGCTGTAGACTGTGTAAGCAGGGAAAGAGGATGTGAAAGGCAGAAATGCTCGTGGGACAGCTGCTAGCACAGCCGGGGCAGCACAAGGGTCCTGGGAGATGAAATAGCCCTAAGAGAAGGCTTTGCTTTTCCCTCCAGAAGCAGAGATGTGGCCGGGTCAAAGCTTTCCGTCATTGCGAGCAAAGGAGAGCAGTCAGCAGGGCAGCACTGCGACTCGGGCACCAGCAGAGATGCCTTCCCGCAGCTCCTAAGCGTGCTCCTGGCACCGGCTAGCCAGAGAGGCCCAGGTCTGGACACTTCTTTTCTTTGTTCCCTGATAGAATAAATATAGGGAGGTTGGTAAACCCAAAAGTTAGGAGGCCTGGCTGTTGCTTGCCTTATGAACTGTCCTATTTTGGTCCCATTAATAATTAATAAATAAATAAATAGACCACAGGTTTAAGTTTGGGCATGTTTGGTAAAGCAGAAACATGTAGCAAAGCTGTGCTTGTCCATTCAGCTGCACCCAGCAGAATCTTTACCTGCACCAACCTACATGACTTAGCAAGAAAAAAAGCGCCCCACACATTTCAAATGGTATAGTCTCTACCTTCTTTTTGTAAGCGATGCTTTTGCCAGTCATATAAATATCAATATTGAATATCATTGAATATCAGGCCTTTTTTTTTTTTAAGCCCTAGCACTTTTAGATCTTGGGATACTTGATGGCCTTTGCAGAGCAGCACACAGCAGAAATAGTAGGACTGAATTGCATTTCAAATTGTAGAAAAAATGTGCTGCATTGCAAAAATAGCAAGTTACAGAGTGTAATG